CCCCCCCCCCCCCCCCCCCCCCCCCCGCCTAGAAAACATGAAAAAGTAATCCAAATCCATCAATGTTGTGATTGTCATTTTTTCCTCAGTAAGGGAGATTTGATGTAGTGGAATAGCATTTGTTACTGTTGTGAAAATCTGTCATTAGCATTTGTTTAGTAAACATGGCATTGAAACACACCCCATGAAGACTTCCTTGGGACCAGGAGGATCATCTCTACTTGTCCCCAGCTTACATATAAACCCCTTTGAATTCAGCATCTGAACAGTAGTGCCTGACACTTAAGACCTTGAGTTGTGGTCTGATTGTTATGCCCAAATTTGTGGGTCCCCACAAAAGCCAACAAAGGATACTGAGTCCCATATGTAAAAGCAAAGAGCCTTTATTTTAATCAAGTTTGCAAACTTGGTCTCTCCGCAAGTCCAACGTATTGGAGTATCTGGAGAGCCCCAAGCTCAATTAGAATTGGGTTTTTATAGTAGTAAAGGTGGGGGTGAGGGGTCTCTGTGTTCCAGGACCCCCTATTGGCTGACATTTGTCTAGGGGTGTCCTGGTGAAGTGTTGCCAGGAATTTCCTTTGAATGGTCTGCTCTTGGGTGAGAGTCAGATAATCTCCGGCCTGCCAGGCATGGTCTCAGGGTAAACTATTGAGACTCTAGGCTCCATTTAAATTTATTAATGGCCAGAATTCCAGGTGATAATGGTTGGAGGAGAACTTCCTTTCTGCCCAGACTTAGATTATCATGGCTGGCCCTCACACTGACAACTAGTGAGTAAAGCCGCTCTACCTGACCCTTGGAATCTGGGCTTCAGCTCAGCTTTCTCATCTGCTGATTTCATCACTTCCTTTTAAGTATAGTCTGCTTCCTGTTTCTTCTCGGTGTTGGTGGTGATGAATCCCAGGGCCCTGACTGAGCCCTAATTTCCTTTTAATGTTTGAGTTGTTACAAAGGTAAGTAAAGCTCCTGCCCTCCCCACTGATGTTCCTTGTCTTTAAAGAGACAGAGCAAAGATAATAAAATAAATATTAAAAAGTAATAGAGTAAAAACAAGCCACGTAAATATGGAATATACACAGATAGTCTGGCTTATTTATATTATTGTGCTTTCTTTGAATTTTTTGACTGTTAAAGAGCTAAGTACAGAAAGACATTTCATTGAATGGGCTGCTAAGCTAAACCAGCATGTATATTATAATGGTATCTTGACTTCATAATTTGGGTCTAAGGATATGTTGTTTTGGAAAAGAGGTTCTTCTTTTGTTTCCACGGAGGATGAGAACCTGTGGATTCATTCCAGGCTAATGTGGTTTGATGAACCAAGAGCCCCTGAAAGGTTTCCTTGAACACCCCTCAAAAACTTACTTCACCCAATAAACAGCA